TAAATACCGAATAGTTTCTCTGGTGTGAGAAACTGAAAGTGTAAATAAGGACTAAATGTATAATAGGTCCTGTTCTCCTTTTATGCCATTCTAGTAACGATTCTCAGGTGAATCTTCCATGCCCAGAACCACTCTGACTCAGTTCATCTGGGCATTCCCATTTAAGTTGGCCATTAGTTAATCTTCCACAGATGTGTTATGTTCATGTGCCAAGTCCACACAAAGAATGCAAACATGTACTAATAAGAAGAAAATACCTAAGCTAAATTGTGCAAGCTGCCTATAATAAAGAGAGGCTGCATGGTTAATTGTATGAGAAAGCACTACCGTACTCTTGACTGGAAAAAAACACATCTAGGTAACAGCCCTCAAGTAATCTATTTAAAAAGTAAGAAAGGTACTAAAAGCAAAAGTCCTATCCCTCTGACTTTGAGGTAAATATGATCTAAACAGTAGATTTATGGAAATCATGTCAGGATCAGTTAAACGAGAAAACTCCATTAGAAAGAAACACAGAATCTGAAAGAGGTCGAAGATAAACTAATTATGCTCTCAATCATACACTTTGAGGTCTATGAAGTTAATCATTGTTAGTGTCAAGCCAGTGCTGCAGCACAAAGACCATTCTATAAAATCAAGCATGTGATAGTTGATTTAAAAGAAATGCTAACTTTTCTTTCTTAAATATATTTAAGTTTACATAATTTCAAAATATTCTGCTTGTCTTCTTCCAGATAAGCATAGTACTGTAGTTAATATTAATAGAACCAATCAAAATGATACCAAATGTAGATCGAATAAAGTATGTAAATGAAAGTACCTTGATTCCAGGGCAATGAGCAAAAAAAGCTTCAGGACACTGAGAATGATAGAGACCTCCGTGACCAACACAACCCCACGGGGACCTGATAGTGAGGCTTCCACAGTTAAAAAGATCCCCAGAACGATAACGGTACTTGGCAGCTTCATTAACGATCTGCAAGCAAAGAAGGGGTGTCACAGTGAGTCCTTCCTTTCAAATCCATTTCCTATGATCATACTATTCGAAATTTTACCTATCACAAAACGTTAACTGTGGCATGACAAAAGTTGACAAAATGTGTGTAAGATGGGTGGTGAGAGGGTGGGGGCAATACTTCAATATTTCATAGACTTAACCTTTCAGAGGCTCAAAGTAAAATATAATGGACTTACTTGATCAAAAGCAGGAAAAATATAATCTGCAAACTGAATTTCAGCAATGGCAGTAGCACCAGTAACTGCAATTCCAATTCCAAATCCAACAATTCCTTGTTCACACAATGGGGTATTAAAAACTCTATCTTTTCCTTAAAAAAGAAAGAAAGTAAATTTAATATGGCAAGTGAGAGAGAGTAATGTAATGTACAAAACATCTGAAAATTTAGTAAATTAATAATGGTGGGGAAGCCAGGCATGGTGGTGCACACCTGTGATTCCAGAACTTGGGAGGCTGAGGCAGGAGGATCACTACAAATTCAAGGCCAGCCTGAACTACATAGCAAGAGCATGTCTCAAAAACAATAACAAGCAAACAGAAAAATAATAGTGGGAAGGGGAATCACAGAACAGTTAATAGGTAATAAGTAGTAATGATGGCTGTTAAATGTAATCAGTAATTATATTATAGTAAATAATCTTTATGTTCCAATTAAAACTGTCATGTTGGAATTTAAGAAAGCAAAATCCAACTACTTAAAAGAAAACATCATGCACAAGACCCTGGATTCAACCACCAGTACAGAAAGGAAAAAAAGGGGGAGCGGGGAGGAAGGAAGGAAGGAAGGAAGGAAGGAAGGAAGGAAGGAAGGAAGAAAAATACACAATACAAATAACCAAAAGAAACCTGATGTCACTTTACTAGCAGGAAGCAAAGCAGCCTTTAAGGGAAAAAGCCTTACCAGAGAAAAAAGGCAAAATTCATACTTTTGAGAGAATTTAATTCACAAGAAGGACAGAAAAATCCTACATTTAAACTCATCTAACAATGGACTCCAAATACATAAGAAAAAGTAACACAACCGAAAAGACAAATGGACAAATCCACAGTATACTGAGAACCTTCTAGCACAGTAGTTTTAACTGACAGAAAAAGCAAACGATAAAAACATGAAAGATGAAGGTGTGATTAAGAAACATGACCTAATTCACATACACAGGACATTGCACCCACCAGCTCAGAAGTCAATTTCTTTTACAGTAAATAGATAATGCTGACATTAATGGACCATATAGTGGGCTATACATCCAATCTTAACAAATTTTAAAGAATCAAAATCTATTGTGTATTAGTAGATGTTTGCAGTACATGTTTCCATTCCTTGTAGAAAGTTGGTACATGTACATAACACATCTTGCTTCTTTCTTTTCATCCCCTTTCCCTCCTCTCCCTCCCTATTCCCGCCATTTCTTGATTCCCTTTACCATTTGAGAAAGCTCTTTCACCCTACTTCCTATTATCTTTTATTTTGCTCTTTATTTGTAATTTGCATCTCTCATATAAGAGAAACCATGCAATATTTAAGCTTGTGTTTGATTTATTTCACATAACATTATAGTCTCAAGATGCATCCATTTTTCTATAAATGACTCAAGTTTATCTTTCTTTATGGCAGAGTAGTACTCCACTGTGTATAAAGATCACATTTTCTTTATCCATTCATCTGATGATGGACATATCTTACAGAGTATATTCTCTGACCATGGCAGAATTTAGCTAGAAATCAGTTACAAAAAGATAATTAGAAAGCCTTTATGCTATAAAGTGTTAAAAGTACATATCTTAATAACACATGACTCAAAGAAGAAATTTTAATGGAAATTTAAAAGCTTTTTAAATAGAATAATAATGAAAAAACTATATATCCCAACTTACTGAGGTTATAAAGGTAATAGCAAAATTGTCTCTTCCAGACTAACTCTCACATATTTAATGATTATCAATTCTGGGCAAATTATAACAACTATTTAAAGACATGGGAAGGCCAAAATTAAGCATAAATGGACAGGGACTTGACCACTGATAGAAGAGACACTGGGTGGATAAGCAGGGCATTTATAAGGCTTGTCCGAAGGGAGTTCTAACAGTATATGTGCTAGAGAAGATGACAATTCACACCAACAGTCTCCGTTTTAAGAGAATTATCTGAGAATTGTGTTTGAAACTGACAGTGACTGGATACTGAGAAGTAAATCCTTATAGAAAGGCACCACATGGGGTCATCCCAAAATCTGTACAGAAACTGCTCTAACACTCATTGACCTCTGTACCTATCGGACACCCCAAAAACTCAGCAGAGAAACAACCTGGAAGAGCTGAGGAGAAATTTCAGCTGTTATTCTGCCTACCAAACAAGAAACAGAATTTAGAGTTTGAGATTCTTTAAATTAGAGGAGTTTGATAAAGCCCTCAAGCTTTCCATTCAAAATACTACTTTACTTACATTACCACTGGATTCTCACTTGACAGTTTACAGTCTCTCAGCTAATACCTGCATTTTATGACACAACTTAAATTCAGGGATCTGACTGACAGCAAAAAAAATGGCCATAGGCTGGCCAGGTAACGAAATGTTTTGGGACATTTATATAAGCGTGACAATCATGCTTTATTTGTATAACCCAGGGATATCAATACTTCTTGGTATATACAATTCACTTTCAACTCAATCATTCCCTTTGAATCTGAACTATAAATATGGCAGGTGCTGGGAAATACAGATTAGACACATCCTATAGCTTCCAACTCTAAATGCAGCTGCAAAAACTTAAAAGCATGATTCATACTCATCATGATCTATGACCATCTTCTCAAAGTGTGATCTCTATTCCTCATCAGTTCCCTACTTGACTCCAATTAAGCTTGATAATTTTTTTGAAAATCTGATTCCACTGAACTAAGATCAATTCAGTGGTCAAACATAAATTCCACCTGTTTCCACTGGGATCCACGTCCCTGGAATACCTGAACTATCTTCACCAAATATGCAGAATTATTTATTTCTTAGGGCTTACGCTTGTGTAAGATGACCATACAAACTTATCTTCCAAACTGGGATGCTTTTCAGATTGTTAGGAGTTACTAAAAAGATGAATTGATCCTCAACAGGAAGTTCTGTGCAAAAAGGATTGTGCTGGGTAAACCAAGACTTAAGAGTCACCTCATATTAGAGATAAGTGATATGAACACCTAATGGGAAAAGTAATAAGGGAAAACTATTAACCTCACTCATTCCTAACCTACCACATGCTAGCATTCTAAATTTGGCTCCTTGTTATCCAATGCCAGAAAATGAAAAATAAAGTTGAATGAGCAATCCAACCATCAAGGTCATGGTCACAAGTTACCTAAAGTGAACACTATGAGGCACAAAGCCAAGATTCCCCCATCAAGAAGATCACACAGCTTGTTGCTTTTGTTGCCAAGAACACTGTTGGCTAGCAGAAATCAGCTGACCCCCTTTGGGGGCTACAGACATCCCATAGGGTTAGCCACGGTGGCTGTCACTGGCCCTATATCACTTCTGGACACTCCCTCTGTCCAATTCTGATTTCACTGGACAGCAGCACTTGGCGGGGGGGGGTGTCCAGAATGTGATAGATTGCAAGTTTTCCAGATTTAAGAAGTTTGGTTATATTTACAATTATCTTACAAAATCCTTCAGACTGTCACCTCCAGATCTGGGTATGTTGTTCAGCAGTAGAGTGCCTGCTCAAGAAGCACTGGTTAAAGGGACTGTATGTGAGTCTTGTCCTGTAGATTCTAACTCTCTTCCTCTGAACTTCCATATAAGACATGTGGGGCATTGTAACAGGCAAGAGAGGAAAACTAAAGAAGATAAAAATCAACCAAGAGCAAAGATGTGTGCTTAGTAAATGTTTACTGAATGAATGCTTATTAAACATAAAACTTCATTTCCAATCAATGAGTATACAATTTTGAGTAAAAATCCAACAGTGCCCACAGCCAGCAAAGCCCAAATTGGTTCTATAATACAATGAATGATTCCATTAAAAATTGCAAGATCCTCTACTGAGAATATAAACTGCATTTCATTCACCTTTTGACACCCAAGAATACCCAGCACAATGTCCAGAATTTAGTAGTCATTCAATAATATCACTTAAATAAACCTGTTAATTTAGGATAAAAAGACATTTATGGGGCCGGGGATTTAGCTCAGTGGTTTCGCCACCTGCTGCGCAAGAGCAAGGACCTGAGTTCGATCCCCGGTACAGAAAAAAAAAAAAGACATTTATATGTGGGACAATTGTGATATGGTAATGTTACCAAGTAATAAGATATGACACCAAGGTAGATGAGAGTTTAGTTGAAAGAAGCTACAGGTAGAAATATTAAAACCTAAGTGGAAAGATGGGTACAAGTAATACACAATGAAATTTTTCAAATAATAGGAAAATGTGACAGTGAATAAAAACTAAAGCCTTAACCAAGTGCAGTGTATACAGATAATAACTGTATCAAACCATCTCTAGTATACAGTATAGTCCCTGGCACATAGAACTTTAAAAAGAAAAAGTATTCAATGAATGAATGACATTTATTTTCTAAATTGGCTGGTGCAAACTATTTAACTCACAAATGCTAAAGTATAACAAATTAGACCTTAATTATCTAACACCACAGGCACAGATAAAAAATAGTTTTAAACATATAATCCAAATATAGTCTTTTTAGACAATGTCCTAATAGTCCCTCAGATGTTTCTCCAAAAAACTAAAGCAAGTAATTAGTTTAAATTTCCACATAAAGTGATTCAGTTACCAACAATGAATTAAAGTCTCTTTAAAAGCAGTGATTTTTTTTTTTAATGATCAAGAAAACTTAAATGAGAAAATATTTTTTTCTTTTTTTTTTTTTCGTACCGGGGATCAAACTCGGGGCCTTGCCCTTCCTTGCGAGGCAGGCAGCAGAACCACTGAGCTAAATCCCCAGCCCTGAGAAAATATTTTTAAAAGTCTTGCTTAAAACTTTGATTCAATAATCAATTGCATATAAGATAGCATTGTTACTCTGTAAAAATGATAACAATGACCACAGAAATATATATTTCCACTTAGAAGAGGTAGTATAAAAGCTCCAAACTCATGGACAGAACTAAAATATTACTGGTAGTAAAGTGTCAACTTGTTTTATACACTCCACTTTTATTTTTTTAAAAAAAGAAGTTAAGAGGAAGGTAAACAATTAAATAAATATATGGGAAATTTAAGAAAAAGTCTTCAAATCAGTTCAGATTCAATTAAAATCTCCTACTGACAATATCAATTTTATAGGCAACAAGTGATT